AAAAAAAAAAACCACAAAGAAAGCTGCCCCAGGAGAACTAGGCCTCTCTACAACATACTGAGGAGGGTCAGTTCCCTTCTCGGGGCCTCAGTTTCTGCATGGGTACTAAGGGAACAGCAGAGTCCCACGTGACCTCATGGGTACTAGGGGAATAGCAGAGTCCCCACGTTACCTCATGAAGTGACAAGGAGTCCCAAAGAAATCAGGTGTGGGGCCTGAGATGAGACACAGCGGGCTCCCCGGGTTCTTTGGAAAGACAAGCCTGGTCTTGAGGCAATTCTGGATCAAGAGGAACTGGCGGATTTACTGCCAGATTGCCGCCTGCTGGTCTTTGCCAGGACACGCAACTTCTAAAAAGACACAGTCTGTACACGCTTATCTAGATCCAGCTCCTTCGGTCACAGATGCCTTTGACCCCTTAAGGCTTCTCACAGTGACCCTGGGAGGTAGCAAGCGGGAATTGATCCCAGCCAAGAAAGTCCGAAAAGTTCTGTGACCTCAACGTCGCAAGGCAAACTGATGACAGAACCCTGGGACCTCCCCCCTAGATCTAGCCCCATCAAGTCAGACGTTCAGGTCTCTGAGTTCTGCTCTATAAAACGGGATGAGTTTTGAGGAATTGTAAGGCTGTGTAGTGTGCTCTAGAAGACAATGGGGATTGCTATTGCAGGTGCTGGTTTTTCTACACTCGAAACTTTTGGGCTTGGTTCCCCTACAGGCTCTCTGTAAGGTATTCCTCAGAGGCTCTCTTTCCAGATAGCACTGGGAGTCCTCGAGAGGAGAGCCTTCTGGAAGACTCAGTCACAAATCAGGTTGACCTTGAAGCCAAAGTAGTTGGAAAAGCAAGCTTGGAGCCCAGACCTCACTCATAGACTGAATTCTCTCTCTCTCTCTCCCCACCTCAGATTTGGGGGTGGGGGCTGGAAAGAAAGGAACAGCCTTGACCACACAGTCACTAGCAGCATTAAGCAGCCACAACGTACGTCGTCTAGACAAACAGATTTTATGGGTCCAATTAATTTCTGCCAGTCAAAAATAGGCATGCTTAATAAGTGTATATATTTAGAATCTGTCATTATCTGGCCCCCAGGGGTGAAATTCAACTCTTATTTCATAGACTTTTAATTTCAAACAGAGCTCTGTAAACTCCCACTTCAGAACTCACGTTTTTTCCAGAACCTAGACGTGAGCAGGGCAGGGACAAGGGGATTTTACCACAAGAAGCCACTGGAGTCTTGTGTAGCTTGAACCCCTAAGCCAATCAAAAAGTGAGCAATTGTTTCTTCTTCAGACAAAGTGATCGGAAAGCAGTGCTGTGGTGGCAGGGGGGTTGTGG